TTAAGTTCCCAAAATTTCAGCCCCGCAGCTTTTATAGGTCCTGAGATGAAAGTGCGTGACAGACACACGGACCCACAGACAACCTCTCGTCAATATGCGTTTTTCGCATTGCATTGCTGTAAAAAACGCATAAAAGCGCAACGACTGGGAAGGATCGAGAGCAGAAAGGGGGAGGATGCAGAAGCGTTGTGGAAGGGAGGGGGAACGAAGAAAAGTAGAATTAGGGATGAAAGAGAAAGCAGCGGAGCTGAGCGAGGTAAGGAGAAATAAATGAGTTAGTTTTTGAGTTAAATATTATTTTGTTCAGATAGCGCCAAAAATCAAAGCAAAAATGATGGAGCGTGGTTCGACAATGGTTGCTTATCAGCCGGACAAGAAGCGACCGAATTTCTTCCGGATGATCATATCGAATCAAGCAATCACCAAGGAAGATCTTGATTTCCTTATCAGAGAAATAATTGCCATCGGCGATGAGATTTGATTTGCAGCACCGCGTCACGTCTAGTCCTCTTCATCCTTGCACTTCCTGAATCGTACTTGCACCTGAGCTTACTTTGTAATTAGCCTCACTGTAGACTATAATAAATGTTAGCTTCTAAAATAACTATTTAGTTCCCTAAGCTGGATTAATTTCGTGCCGGTGCTTTTGATCCAGATGCGAAGGAGAATCGCCGCGAAGGACAAAAAGCCTCAACTAATTAAGACGGTAAGTGCCAAATTCAGTCGTAAGACGAAAAATAACCTAGACTAAGCGAGGAGCACCATAGTACCTCAGTAATAAGTAAATTTCCCACCCTTGATCTCGGTGCAAATATGTGTGTCGAAAAAAATAATGTCCACATTTAACTGAAGAGAAAGTTGCTAAATTCAGCCGCGAAATCGAAAAGTTGTGCAGACCTGTTAGCCTAAGTTTAGGCTTGAGTTCATGAGTTATGACAGCGAGAATAAAGTAGACTGGTTTTTAACTTTTCCCCCGCACAAACTATTCTTAAAATCTATTGCTTTGGTGATGCTCGTGGAACACTAGCTTCTTTTTAATAAAATTATTATA